TTTCAAAAAGGCTTACGATTCTATTGACCACCAGAAACTTTATAATATTCTAATCGAGCAGGGGATTCCAAAAAAACTAGTAAATCTAGTCAGGATGTGCTTGACGGAGACACTCAATAAAGTTAGAATCGGTAATAATCTGTCGGAAAAATTTGAGGTTCGTTCGCGTTTAAAACAGGGGGATTCCCTTTCTCCTGTCCTGTTCAATTTGGCATTAGAACATGGAAACTATAAAACTAAACTATGGAAACTATAGTACTGATACTTCGCCACGGCTATGGGGGCGGGGTGGCCGAATAGGCTAAAGCGTGTGTAATAGCACCGCTAGTTGCCTGGCAACCGGATAATAGAGATTTGAGATGATATAAAAAGTACGAGTTCGCGTCCCGGTGCCGGAGGGGATTTTAAATTTCCCCGCCCTCACCCCCCGGCCCGGGAAAATCCCGTATAGCCTAAAAGGCGAGGTAGGGAAGAACAAAAAAAAAAACAAAAAAAAAACTTCGCCACGGCCATTACGTGAAACAACTCTGAGATGGTCGAATGCCATGTGATCGCCACAAGATTAAAACCAAAATTTTATTGTTTCAATTTCGCTATTTCGTAATGATCCGTGAGCATGTTAATTATTGAGTACGTTTTCTTCCTATTTTGATGAACGTTGGAAAGTGTTATAAGGTTAAAAAACAAACAGGAATTCAATATGGGAGCTATGTTTGCAGGAATTTAATTAAAGCGTGGTAATGCAATGCATGTCCAACTATGGGCTTATATGACAACAAACATTGGCTTTTATCACACATTCGGAAATCCTTTATCACTTCAGACGATGGAAACTATAAAACTAAATACGACAACGTTAATGAAAGCCGGTAAATAACTAGGACTCGAAATAAACGCAGACAAGACAAAATATATGGTTAGCTGCAAAAATGGCAATACTACTGGTGAAATCGATATGGATGGTAATATGTTTGAACAGGTAGAGAAGTATAGGTATCTAGGTTAACTAGAAAAAACGAAATTGAGGAAGAGATTAATGTTAGACTGAAGGAGGGAAATGCTTGTTATTTTTCTGTGACAAAACTACTTAGCTTATGCCTCTTGTCCTGGAACTTAAAAATTAGAATCTATAAGACCATTATCTTACCTACAGTTCTTTATGGATGAGAACTAATCCTACTATGGATATAGGGTTACTATAAGGTGAAAAATGTTAATGATTTTTAAACCAAAATTTTGTATAATTAAATAAAATATTACCTTATCAATGTAATTTAGTTTAAAAAATTTATAGAAAAAAAAAAACAACAAAAAGAAAGCTAGCTTCATGGTTACTTGTTATTATTTTTATACCTGTACATTATTTAGTTAACTTCATGTTAAAAAACTTGTCGAAATCTTTCAAATTCAGCTGATTTTACTATAGAGTTGATAAATAAGATCTTGATGACATCATCATATTTCATTTTCTTCGGGTTTATGTATTTTTACCAAATTTCAGCTTGATTGGATAATCAGAAGAACCATAATTTTATTTCAAGATTAGATTGATAGCAATCAAACTAAATAAAATCATTTAAAAATTATTATTTATCTGCTATAAGCAATCAAGCAAATTTCCTGGAAATTGAATGGTAAAGGTAATAAAAGTCTATTTTTATTAAAACTTAATCTTTTATATGAATTAACATCTTTTTATATATGAGACATCAATAGACATTATGTATACGCTATGTACAACAAATATATTACAGGTTCTTAAACTAAGTGATCCTATACAAAACAAAAATAAAACAAGGGATAGGATCAAGAAAACAGTAAAAGGTTTCAAGTGCATTATTTGGCAATTATTTCATTATGTAATTTTTTTTTTTTGCTGATAAGAACAATTAAATTATTTTATTTGACAAATAAATAAATAATTTTAGCAACTGGATGAATTTGTGGTATAGGTAACACAAAGAAACCTTTTATGTCTTATACAGCTAATGTAACTTGACTATAAGAGATAAAAATATGAGGTAATGTCAAATAAAGAAAGAAATATATATAATTAAATCTCATTGGAAAAGTAATAAAAATTAACAATAATGAGTTAAAATTAAAAATTAGTGGTTATTTTTAATTCTATTGAACTGATAAGATCTCTTTATAACACAAGAGCTTCTTGTGTTATATATTCGACACCTAAACCTTGGTTCTTGTTACTTTAGAAACATAACTTGAACTAACATATTTTAATCATTCAGAATACATTCGCGTCATAATACATCAGTAAAAATATATCATTAAAAAAATAAAAATAAAAAATATTTTACAAATCATTGATCATGACCTATATGATAAGGCACTGACAGTAAGACATGAATCTGCACCATAGAACAGCCTCAGTTTTTTTAAAAAGGGATTTCGATTTTATCTAGAATCAATAATTATGATTTGGTATCATTTTGTAACAGTATATTATATCATTGAATCTTACTGTTAGTTCAAGTTTACTTTTCTTATATTATTTCAAATCTGACATTTATTAATAAATCATCAAGATGTCTGTCCATAGTCATTCCAATGAAAAAAAAATCCAAAACTTATTTACAGTCTAGAAAAAGAAAAGTAAAGGAAAAAGATTATTTATTTACAAACGAGAAATTCACATCTCAAGCGAGCGACTGACTTCTTAACTTAATTTTAAAAATAATATTAACAATTTAAGTAAATATTGCAGCTTTAGAATATAATGGTATAAATATTCAAACTAAAATTTCAAGTCGAGATGGTACCAAAGTGAGAAGAGAACTGTACAATTGCATCGACTAAATATTCAATAGTAATATATTTACACCAAACAGGCTTTTCACCTCATGAAATCGTTCGGGGACGTTGCTTATAACAAAATAATTTTAAATTTTACGAATATACAAATCATCTATCAACAATCAACATTTTATACATCAATACCCTGACTACAGTAAATGCTCAATCTGATGCTGTCATACTTATTACAAACAATACATAATTTTAGAAAAACTTAAAATCTTATTTCTGAACAAAAAGAGGGAAGAATATTTAATTACTAATACGAGGTTTCTACTAAGCTTGGAACATAAAATTAAAATGCTCAAACTTCTCAGTTATTATATAAAATCCACAATCTAAAAAAAAATTGTAGAAATAACTTGAGTAACCCAGATATAAGGCCTTAAACTTCGGCTGAAATGTCAGTTAGTTTTATTACTAGTGTTTTATTTCATAATCTACTACAACCCCTAAACCCCAACCAAATCCTCACACGATTCATTCCTTCATTAAAAAAAAAAAATTTAATTCTGTTCATCAACTTCTTATTTTGTACAATAGCTCTCAATTAAGTATAAATATATTAATAAAGCGAGATGGGTATGAAATAGCTAAATAAGATTAAAACCTTGTCCAATCCCAGATACGAAATGCAGTGTGACTAAAAATGAATTTCATTTACTAAAATGTTATTTTAGTGTTTAAATTTCTTTATTATATAAAATATAATCGAGATATACTAATATATCTAATGTTTAACAGAAATAATTTAATTATATATTATGCTAATTGTCTTACAAAACAGGGAAATTGCCTATGATGAGCCAAGAGCCCAAAAATTTTACAAAGGGAAAATAAAATAATTATATAAATTAATGGAAGAAGTACCTTTATTAAAAAAAAAAAAAAATGGTAAACCGAGCTATGCACTCAGTATTTTTGTTTAGATAAATAAAGTAAAAATTCACTAAGACGTACTAAAAAATTTTAGTACCTCAAAAATGTACTAAATGACTTTTTGCAATAAAGTGACAATATACTTAGTCATTTACGAATATTTTCATGCTAGCCTTCAATGTTTACTTTCATTCAGTGAATAATATTTTAATTCATTAATATATACAGAAATGTTAATTATTTTTTTATTTAATTAATATCTTTCATTGTTTGAAGAGATCAACAGTGTCAAGCAACAGACCTAAATACAATGCAATTAAGAAATATCCTATTAAAAATTTAGGAAATAATACAATGAAATTAAGAAAAATTCTAAGCATTTTTTTTTAAATTCATAAAACCCCCATCCTTTACCAACTGTTAGAAATTTCTAGTAACACCTGACTGGTTAGACACTCAATAACAAAAAAATAAAATTTACCATAAGAAAGGCATATAAAACCACAGATAATATAGAATAATCAATAAACTGATTCTCTGTGTATTCCAGCCATAAGTTAAAATCAGAGATATCATATAGCTGCTTCAATAATTAAAAATATAACAAGACATTGTGAAAATGAAAAAAAACAAAGAAATTTCAGACTTGAATAAAATGACAGCATAAGATTAAGGTATACTGTATCATGAACACTAAGTAACCCTTATCATTTTTTTATAATCTTTTGTATATATATATATATATACAAGAATATATACAATAAATCTAGATAAAATAAACGTTAAAACATTCTCAACAATTGTTTTCTTATCACTAGAATCAAACGTAGGTGCATCGTTAAAATATATATTTAAACCATCGGGGACATGAAAAAAAAAATTGTTTAAGTGAGAATAAATAAGACATACATATCAGCTTGATATCCAGGCTGATGACCTGGATGTTTTGCACCCAAACATCAAAATAAGACATATATATAAAAATTTTTTTTTTTACAATTTACCTTTCTATTGTTGAGCCACCATTTTCTCAAATTATAACCCCCTTCCCTTTATAAAAATAAATATGCCAACCCTCCCCATCAAAAAGTTAACAAATATCACTTAAAAGTGGACTATTTTCAATGAAATCTATCATAAAAAATAAAACAAAAGCATAAATAAATATAAAATAGTAATTGAGAACTAAATATTGCTAGTAACAGTAATTATTAATGATTTAAAATATCCATTTATGTAACTTCAAAATAACCATTGAATAATTATCACAAAATTTAATTACTAAAATAATTCTTAAGAACTAAAATGTCAATTCCAACTCTCAAACCATACTTAATTTATTAAAGTTAAACAATTTTTTTTTCTTTTACTATGTTTGTTAATATCAAAACAGATGAATTTTGTAGCTATAAATTTAAGACAACAAAACAGTAAAAACAGACGTCCCTTCCTTTAGGTAGAATAAATAAATATAGTTATAATCGTCCACCTCTCTCAGCACAGAAAGCTCCTCTCTGACCTATAACACCCAGCAAACAAATAAATGTTAAATAATTTATATCATGACAAAAATCTGTGGAAATTATGTGTATTTACTGTAAATAAAACTTATAAAAAGATTTGTTTTGTTTTCCTTCTTTATTTGTTTTTGGAAATATGTGTATGAATTTATTAGTTTATTTGAAATTAATTGGGATGACCATCAGAAATAACATAAAATAATTAATCTATTTGATGTTATTTCTGATGAACTTCCAGAACATATCCTACTTGATTAGAAAATCGATAACTATCTATCCATAATAAAATAAAATTAAATGTTATTTTGTTATACATTGGTTATACATACATTTACTTATATGATATGGTATGTCATATATACATAGATATACATTTTCTTGACTGTTAAATAATATGCACTTTCCAAGTATCTTGAGGTCATAATTGATATAAAACTATATGAAAGTTTCTTTAATTACATTGTAAAATTTTAAAAACTATAAAAAAAATATGAAATTTAGCAAATTATTCACGCAAGAGGTTATTACCTACAACATTTTTTTTCTCTTAGAAATCTCATTTCACAAACGAAATGTCATTTAGAGAACAAGATTTTTTTTTTTCATCACAAGCACATGCAACTAAGGTGGAGGTCTAAATGTCACCCACCGGCCAAGAAATTTGGAGACCCCTGTTGTAGAGCATACATACAGGAACAATAAAGTCTCAAAACATTGACATAATGTTGTTTTATAATTATTATGGTCTCTGTATACTAAGTGAAAATAGATAATAGCAATAAACAAATTAATTTAAATTTACTATTAATAAAATAAATAAAAATAAGCCTTTACCATCTTCAGCTATAGGTCACCGTTTTGTCCTACGCCTGCTACTCCTAGTTCCCTCTTTCCAAGGAAGAGTAAAATCACTAAAAACAATAGTTACAGTTACAGCAAATAAAAATATTTTACCTCTGTATAAAATATGTAAAAAGTCACTATGCCACTATTTTTGCTATACATTATATGATTTTACTTATAATTACTCAATTTAAAGAATTGTAATTTTTATAACGAATATTTAATAGTTGACCGTTGCATTATAAAGGAAGGAGATGGTCCGGGGTTGCGGTCATAAAATGATTTTATGACCGCAACCCCGGACCATCTCCTTCCTTTATAATTTTTATAACATTAAATTTAAAAGTATAATGGTTTTGGATAACAAAAGTTTTAAGTATAGTGAGTATTAATAAAAAAAATCTGGATTTAACTGAATAAAGTTCATGATTGAGTGATCTAGAACAATCAAGGCATGGTCTATGATCTATATAAAATAAGAGTGGTCAGTCAGTCATTCAGTATGTAGGTGGATCCGCCAGTGGTCAGTTGAGTCAATCTGTTTTTTATTAAGGTTACAATGTTTTGTCAACAAGTGTTTTATAGAGTAATGTGATTGAATTTACATATTTTGTAAAGTAATCAATCATCTGATAAAATGCAGGTAATGTTTTTGCCATAAAACTATCATTCAATTAAAATTAAATATATAAAAAATAGAACTAAACCTCTTTTCAGGGTCTCCATTAGAAAAGATGCTTAAAATATTTTTTAGGTTAAAATATTTTTATTTATTTATAACTCAATATTTTATATAAATTATGTTGTTTTTTTTCTATATTTGGTTGCACATAAATTCTATCTTTATTTATAGCCAAATATAATCATTTACAACACTTTTAATTTAATTGTTAGTCAATATATTTATTTTTTCATAATGTTGGTTAGGATCCTTAACTTTATTTTTAATAAAAACAAATAAACTTATTTGTTCCTTGACGTTATCAGAGGCCATGGTTCTTTAAGGACTGTAGGTCCCATGAATGAATGAATGAATGTTTTCCTTTCGTCCTACTTTATTTTCTTTACATCCAACATTTCAGCCCTTTTGACCATTTCCAAGGGAAGAAACTTTTCAAGACATAAATAAAACCATTTGGGCTAATTCACCTATCTCACATTTTAATATCTACAGATCGACATGTTCAGTTATAAATAAAAGAATGTGGCAGAGGTAAACTAGCTCAAATGATTTTATTTTTATTTAAAAGTTTTTATTTATTTAAAAGATTTTATTTTTTATAAAAGTTTCTTTCCTTGAAAATGGCTACATAGCTGAAACATTAGGTGTAAAGAAAAAAATAAAGCGTCTAAAGGATTAAATGCTTTAATTCATTATTAAAAATTTAATTTTTACATTGGATAAAGTGAAATTTCAATAACATAAAAGGAATGGCCCTAACATAATAATAATATCAACTTACTGATGCTCAGTTACGACAGGCAAATTGATGCCAAAGACAGATACAGGCAAGATAGGTGTCATCGCAAGCTGGAGGCCTTCTCCAGCCTGGGGCCACAACGACCTGGAACTCGCTTGGTCGTTGTTATTCCCAGCATTTTCTCTAGATCTATGCTTTTCAATTTGTCTCTGTTCACGAATTCTCTGCACATCCCATCTAAATAATAAAAATAATCACTCATTATTTTAACAACTGGATGCATATTTAATTATAAGAAAATAAAAATTGAAATTTACAAAAATTATTAAGTGATGAAAGATGATTTACATCGTCACAGATAATTATTCAGTACTAATCAGTCAGTGTGAATTACTTTGTTACAACTTAAAGGGACCAGGAATTTATTAATTTCTTATGAAAATGTTTGTAATCACCGAATAAAAACAAGAATCAGTAGTTTAGTAATGTAGATTTATAGATATATATTTTTTTAAGAGATGGATATATAGTTGACTATTATTTTAAAATTATGAGAATGACAAAAATCAGAATTTGCAGTTGATTATTAGGCTTGCCGAGGTTTTGACCCGACCATGTGGATCTTCAACAGGGGTTAGTGTCAAGTCTAGGAACAAGAAAGTCATGTCTATAATATCAAATATTTTAAAACCTGTTCTAAAAACATAGAACTATCTCTTTGCGCAAATCATTAATTGAGAGTTTAAATTACATTTGCTTCAATTTAGTACATATTCAGCTGTAAATTGATATTTATACATTTTTTTATATAAAAAAAAAACTCTAAAGGAAAGAAATCAATTAACATGAAATCCAGAGTTGTAAAAGACTAAACATAATGATCATAATATTATAAACTTGTTATTATTAATATTGCTTTAGAATCCGTAGGTGTGCCTTGGATTCCTTCTAAAACTAATATTATCACATAGAATACCAGTTTCAACAATTACAATATTGGTCTAACAAAACTACAAAGATCAGGAAGAGAAGGAAAATAAAATACTAAAAAATTATAATTTGACTACATATCATCAGTTTATTAAAAAAAATCATTATGTAACATTTCAGAAAATTAAACCATGATGTACTTTGATGAATTTTCTGTATCTTTAATCATAAAATTGTGTATTTAGTGTTTATATATTTTATATATAAAAGAGTTTGTCATTTTTAAAGATTTATTGTTTTGTTTTTTTTATCAATAAATGAGATAAAAATTCAGGATTAAACATACTTAAAACTGTTTAACTCCATCAAAAATTTACTAAGTAACTTTTCAGAATAAACCGATATGAAGTACGCTTAGTAATTATTTTCACTATAATTTACCTTCAAAGCACTTCTTCAATTATTTTAAATTAACGAATAAAATTCTCTCTTCACTAAACATTCCATAATTTAGTGCCCATAAAGATATAATATTAATTTAATTAAAACTTGACATTCTGCTTGACCATTAAAAAAGTTCATCACTAACCAACCAAGGTCCAATAGGCCTCATAAGTGTAACAGATGAATATTATTCAGAATCTAAGTTCAATATTCCATTAGATAATGGACCACCAACTAAAGAGACGTCATAAATCAAGCACACAAAATATAAATTTCTCATAGGTTAATTAAATATCAATACAATTAAAATAACAAACCTTTTTCTTTTCTTCTCATCCACCATCAACTTGTAGTGTCTTCTATCGAATACATCATCAGACAAGTTCTCAGTTCCCTCCATTGTGTACGTTGAGGTGAGAGGCTTTATCCGCCATTGAGGGACCTTCAACGAACAATAAATCTTAACCACTTGCATAATAACATTCTGTCTTACAATCAATCGTAACACAAAAAACTTAAAAGTAGTTTTTTTTTTTTCAATTTTCTTATGAAAGTTAACAATAAAATTAAAACATACTAGGATACAATAAAATAAAATCGTACTAGGATAAAATATCAACAAAAACAAAACAGATAAAATAAAAATTACTATTAACCTCAAGACAGACTTTTGATTTGGGATTATTATTGAGAACATCACCAAGCATTTTAACATCAGAATCACCGACACCAGTATAATATAGTTTATCTGTAGTAAGCTTGTCACTTAAGTCTATTTTTTTTTCATTCATCATCTTAAGACCATCTGTAAATGTAAGAAAAAAAAAACAAATAAAAACTTTTTTTCCTAAAATTTATGACATTTGAAATGAAGTCCTACCACTAACAAAATTTGATTACAATAAATTTCTCTTAAAGTAAAATAATAAACTCAGTTATAATTCATGAGATGTTATCGATAAAGTAACAAACAAATTTTTAAAATATTTTTTAATTATATTACAAATTAGGAACAGAAAGAAAATAAAGGTTATTTAATGTAATTATTAAAAAGTTGTTAAAATTAAAATTAAGATTTATGAAGCATATGACTTATTAGTTACCAAGTTTTGATTGTCTGTTAATAACTTTAAGGCGCTTCTGTTGAGTTTCAGTAAATGCCTTTTTACCAGCTGAACCGCTCGGCCCCGATGGTGTTGCATCTTGTGTACGCCTCTTCCTTCCGGTTTCTGGGACCTCTGAATTCTGCTGATGCCTCTTATCGGTGGTATTTGAGCGTTGTAATGAAACTCTCCTTTCCATCCGAGCAATTCGTTGCTTGAGCTACGAAATACATATGTACTGCCATTAGTGAGACAGAGTACATTTAAATTTAGAGAAATTAATTATTTCAATACCAATATACAAATGTTACTCAACCTTGCACAGTGGGCCAAGATCCTATGTTCGCATTATACATGGGATTTCGAGAATAGCCAAAGATTGACGTGTTCACAGCATAACCTTTATTTAATTAGATCACAATTTACAACTTAAGAACTCTCTACTAGTCATTTTCAGTTCAAATTGGAGCTTAATTAGCTTTAATTACATAGCTGTTCTTAACTGTCGCTCGCTACTCTCACTTAGAAGAGATAAACACATATCCTAAAGATCCTTTATGGTATGATAATGATATAGTGCCACTCATAGTGGCAAGTTGTATAGTAGTACCATTCTTTCTATAATTATGTTTTACCTCTAAAACATTGGGTCATTTACATATTTATTCCTTACAAAGAACAAAACATAACAACAAATAAATAAGATACATTCAAACATAAATATAGTTAACACCTCACATAAGTGATGATTTATAATTAGGAAATATTTTCAAATTTTTGAAAGTTTCAACTAAGACCTAAATACAGTAAAAACTTTTATTCTCTGAGGTCGATAATAATAATATCAAGCTATATTTTAACATAAACCATCAGATAGTGATGACAATGAGAATGGTTTTGTGTTTAAAAATTGTTCATAAAAAGTGGAACATTAGTAAAATATGATAATCTAATTAATTCAATAAATGTTTTAGGAAAAAATTTCCAAGCGGTCATATCAAAAGTTATGATTATTTAAGTAGGTCTTGAAAGTTGCTCTTTGTTAAAAAAGAATCAACCATAAGTAGTTTTTGTTTACAAGGAGGTTATTTGGAGGTTACCCATTGAAAACAGTTACCAGAGGTTCCTTACCAGTCAATAATGTATCTAATGATCCTTATACAGACAACCATTAATAGTGTAGGAGGCAATTAATATGAAAGTTTAACAATTATTAAAGCAATCATAGAAATAATTGTTGAGATTATTGATCACATAAAATATGTTTTTTAATTGGACAGTATAAAAGTTCAATACAAGGCATTAAAAAAAAATCTAGGATGGACATAATTTAGAAACTTATAATATAAATTATATTAGATCTGTTGTGAAAAAATGGGCAATAATATAACATGACCAATTCAAAACAATTGCAGTATAACAGCCTACAAACTCCTTTTAACATTTGATTTTGCCCTAAAACCAACACAGCTATCATAAACAAAATCTAAAACATATTAAAATCTAAGAAATGTATTTAATACCATAGCATGATGTGAATGTGCTAGCAATAATAATATTAATTACCCTTTGTAAATAATCTAAGTGCCATAGATGAGATAAAACTTGAAAAATACAACTGTTTTCAGCATGTTAGTATACCTGTGAGGTATAGACTAAAGGTCTAATACTCTAAGGAACACATAACCAACAAATAACCTTCCAGTAAACAAAAACTAAATCCACTTTTATAACTGAAGATGCCTCATAAAACACTATTTCCTGTTTAAAACGACCATAAAGATGGGCCCTACAAAAGATACCATCCAACAATAGTTAAAAACAAAATTTAATATTAAAAAAATAAATTTCATTGTGAAATACAATTATCCTAATTGATAAGAATGATTCAATTTAATACAAGTTATCAATAGGAATAAACTACTGAATTTGAATGGAGGGTGTAATTCATTATTCCATAATTATCAGTATGTTTTTGGAACTATCATAATATGAAGTGTGAGCTTTAAAAAAATAAGAGACCATAAATTGATAACATATAGTTATTGTTCACTAACAGTATACTTTTTTATCATAAAATATGTTTCTGTAACTTTTATGGCATGGATTGTTACTGGGAGCAGAACCCAAAATGAATCCAGTTTATGGTGGATTGGGAGCACCAAGGAATAAGCCAGATAAAAGAACATAACCTGGCCAAGGCAAAATATAACCTTACCTTCAATAGTGAAGCAAGTACCCAAACAAACCCTTCAGGATAAACAAAAATTACCAATGAACAAAAATTTGACAAAAGATAAGAAAGAAAAAATCATTTGAAAAAAAGAAATGGCAAGGAAAAAGTTCAACACTTAACAGAGGGAAAAAAACCTAAATTCTAAAATTGTATCTCAGAAGCATCCATTTTGAATACTATCCACGCTGTATGATACTGAATCAGTTCAGTATAAGGACGTAAGTTAAAATATATAATGAGAGAAATTACTTAAGACATTACCATTTCATTTTCATTCTTCAAGTCTTCTATCAATTTGTCCCTTTTCTGCAGCTGTTCAGACTGAAGCTGAATAAAGTCGAGGTGAATGAGAAGAAGTTCTTTCATGTTTGTCATTTCTTCATTTGAATTTTCTTCGAGTTCACCATCCTTGGGCTCCAAGTCGGATTCAGGCCCCTTCATCTTAGGGTCCAATTTGACAATTCCCTCGAACTGAGTGGGCACCATGTTGACTAGGAATCCCCCGCCAGCCGCTTTAGGTTCATCCTTCTTGCCTTTATCGGCCCCGTTACAGAGCGCCGTTGACATCCTCATCCGTGGCAACACTCTGTGACACTTTCACTATTTTAAGCAAACTATATTCGAAAATACAATAATCAAACACCCCCCACAATTGATTCGATTACACACTCGACGCGATCTCATTTAACTAACAACAACCAACAGCCTCCATACTTAAACTAAATGCCGCTCGGAGCGCTTCAATCCGTGGCGCTATTCTCTTCTGATAAGAAAAAAAAAAGTTTCAACTGTCGTTTGTTAGCAGCAAGCTCATTTCTTATTTCTGTATACTTCTAAAAATAATATTTCATGATTTCTTTAAATATATTATTACAATTATGCTTTTAAGTCACATAAACACATTAAAAAATATTTGTACTTTGACAATGTGTTGTTTAAACATATTGTTTGCTGCCAATAATTGAAGGTCGGTCGGTTTTTTAATGTCAGTTCCAAAATGACCATTCAAAAATAATTCTCGTAAATTAAAATAGAATAATGTACTTTTCCTCATAATATAATAATATCATAGTGTTACTTGAATTATAGCTTCTTTACTGTATTTGTCAAAAGCAGAACTACAAAAAAGCACTTAAAAATACAATTTGGGAACCAATTGCTTATGACATTTAATTAATAAGATTCCCATTGATTCAAGTTAATTTAATTTATGTTTCAGCTTAGACTATGTACTAAAAAATAATAAAATCCATTTAAATTAAACTAATAAAAAAGAATTTTACAAATTAGTGAAAGGTACATTGTTTTATCAACTCCAATTTATATACGAAATTGGCACAGAATTCATTATTGTACACAATGCAGAAGTATTTTATGGTATGTATTTCTGTGCATTATTTCTGGAGTTGATAGCAAATAAGAAAAGTTATAACCATATCTATAGAAAGGGTCTACCATACACAATGATGTTTAAATGGTATTTTTTTTTCTAAAAAAAAAAGGGGGGTAATTACAGGAACAATAATGCTTTTAGGAATCTTTTTTTTTATATATATATTTTTCTTAACATTTGCCTACATTTAATTTAATGTATATACGTGTTATACTTTAAAAACAGTGCAAATTATGTTTCTTTAATTATTTAACTCAAATCAGTCGAAGAAACAGATGTGGACATATGAAAAATATATAGAGTAAAGTGACAATAGCTGACAGTGTACCAATACCTAACATTCTCCATAAAAAATTGAATGATAAGATTTCAGGCCCTCTTAGACTTCTATTTCATAAATTTATGGTTTTTATATTTTCTCCTCGTATATCTGTCAGCTTTGCTTTATTTATATTTGTCTTGTCGGTAACTGTTACCAAAATAATGGTGGCAAAATAGGAAGTTTTCTCACAGTCCACTTAGAGTCCTTGGAACAACGACCTATCAGTAAGGGCATCCATCTACTCGAGGTTTGTCTTTTTCCTTTTAAATACTTCGATTTACCTCAAAGAATTTGATTTATTAGTTCTTGAAAAGGTTTTAGATTACGAAATGTCTATTTTAACCTTTGTTATTACAGGACTTGCTAAATTTAATGGGTTTCAGCTACCGGGACCTTATATTGGGTCTTTTGCAAGTAGTTGACAGGCCTTTACTCGCATAAATTCAAAGTTATACACAGTAAAACGGTTCTGAATAAAAATGGATCACCCACGAGTTATTTCGTTAAAGAAACATTGGTGATATGGTTTAATTACAAATTTGGAAACACAAGAAATTAGTTTTATAATAAGTCAAAGATAATTTTGTTAATATATATTTTAAAATGAAGAATATACAATTTCAACGCTTTATTTCGTATAATTACTTCGTTTTCATGCCTATCAGTTATAGGAATATTCTAGATCAGTGGTCTCCAAAATACGGCCCTCGGGTCGTGTCTGGCCCGCGAACATTTCTTTGATTACATGATAAAATGTTAAAAACTATTATAAAAAATTAGAAATTTAGCAAATTACTCACACAAGAGTTTACTACAACATTTATGGCAAGTTTTTTTTTTTTTTAGAAAGCTCATTTCACAGCTGAAGTATCATTTATAGAAACATAGTTTGTTTTTCATCGGAAGCCATGGCCCGTATAGGTCTCACTGTGGCCCGCGGGCCAATAAGTTTGGAGACTCCAGTTCTAGATCAAACTCACCTATATTTGCAACAAAACTACGTATTCTCTAAATTTACAATTTAGGTGGACACTTCATGAGTTTTAAATGTGTTGTGGCAAGATGAGAAATAGATCTAGAAGACGAATCCTAGAAAAATGCAATAACATCAATTTTTAAGTTTTTACAAATAATAGTTCAAAGAAATTTCCTTAATCATGTCACCCACTGGTGCTTTTACCCTGTATATTTTTCTACTTCTATAAATGTTTGTATTTCCTTTGAGGCTGAAGCCAGAAAAGTTGGAGACCCTGGCGGATTGAGGAGGCCGTGGATCCGCCAGTGTTCCTAAACTGGATCCACACACACACACACACACACACACATATATATATATATAATTACTTTTTTCTCTTAGCATTATAAACTTATAAATCTTGCAGATCTTTTGCCGCCTTAACAAGTCTACTCCATCTCTGTATACCTTGGGCTATTTCTATAAAGTTATCTGCAGGTAGCTTTGATTATATATATATATATATATATATATATATATATATATATATATATATATATATATATATATTTAAAATTCAAAAGGTTTAATATGTAAACTGTTAATTTTATTTTTGAAATATAGAAATTTGCCCTTGAAACAATCCCATATTTATTTCGTACTCTTCCAGAAGCTTTCGGTACTTTGCACCATACTCATCTATTTTTTTTTTTTTTATCAATATATTTATTTTTCGTCATGTTCTAAGCTTAGACCCGTTAATTAATTTTTATTCTTCAGTTTATTAATAAAAAAAATGTAGAAAGTTAGTTCCCACTAATGATCAATTTGTTTCATTTACACTTAAACATAACTCTTGTCCTCCAGTTTTCTTTAATAATATGGCTCTAACACCTTCTAAAACTGTACGATACTTGGGTCTCCACTTGGACAAACGACTGACATGGACATACCACATAAAACAAAAAAGAAAAGAACTTAATCAGCGATACGGACTTCTTTCTAGGCTACTTGACAGACGTTCTAAATTATCTGTGACTAATAAATTAACTATTTACAAAGTCCTCATTAAACCACTATGGACATATGGGATCGAACTATGGGGAACAGCAAAGAAATCAAATATAAAAATCATTCAGTCATTCCAGTCAAAAGTCCTTCGGAAAATTGTAGACGCACCCTTTTACGTTTCAAATCTCATGTTACACACTGACCTTAACACTCCTTTCATCACGGCAACTGCCACTGACCGCTTTAATAATTTTCATGACAGACTGACTCTAAATTCCAATCCACTTACTCAAGCTCTATCTACTGCCACAAATCCATATAATCCGCCCAGAAGACTGCTGAGGCGGTGGCCAAGAGACTTATTGCATTGAGCTACTTGCTGCATTATCTTTTTTTGTGTGTGTATTTGTTATTATGTTATAATGTATGTGTTATTTTACTACGTTTTTTTTTTTTGTAGTTTTTTTTTTTTTTTTGTCTTGTTATTCTTCTCCTTGATATCATATTTGCTGAATACTAAGGTAGATGGCAAATTTATTTAGCCACGAACAAATTGAGCCACGAATATGTACAACTAATAAATAAAATAAATAAATAATACTAATGATCAAAAAAGGTTATCGTCTCATTTAAGACAAATTTTTGTATTAAAATTTAATTTTTAAATTAAAAAAATTGTCATGCAATTAAAAAATTCTACTGTGGGGCTCCGTTAGCAGCGGACATAGGCGGATCTACGGGGGGGGGGGGGTGAATTTCAGGCTGAAGCTCCCCCCCAAATGGTAAAATATAACCATTTTTACAGAAAAAAATATCAAAAACTATCTCCTAAAGTATTCTTGTTAGTGTAATTACATTTAATAGGACTTCAAGAACCATTTAAACACCATTTCATACAGGTAGTTAATTTCTTTCTTTTTTTTCTAATTAATTATTGTTATACGTATATGAAAAAAAATCTTTCGGGCTGAAGTCCCCCCAAAATTAAATCCTGAATCCGCTAGTGGTAGCGGATATCCCTTAAGATCTCCTTGATACTCCACTTAGTTGTTGCATTACAAAGTCCAAATACATGGTTTGTCTCGTAATATACATCAATGCGAAAGTGAAATTTGAAAGTTGCTAAAACCACTGTTTTTTTTTAAATTGGTAAAATGTCCATTCGTAGAGCTTGAGTTTTCGTAGACAACTTGGCATAATTTTATATTTATATTCCACACAAAATTTGATGCTCATTAATTTGTATAATGGTAAAACTTTACCAGAAATTTATAGTTTATGTGTTCTTTGTGAAAAACCGGAAAAAGGCCGAACATTTTGAGGTTATTGGGACATCTCTCCACACAGCACCAGCTGATATTTGGTGAGAACTTCAATATATTATGTGTACATGCAAATAAATTAAATTCGTTTTAGGCTTTCCGAGAGTTAATCCGCCAAACTGACTTTTAATTCTTTAATAAATATATTAATATTTTTAGATTATTTTTTTCTCAACTACAAAAATCACTCGCTGATTAATTTTACTCATTTTACTAATGCTTTTTTAATTTCCACAATATTAATACAACTCGTTATATTACAACTAATCCACAAATATATTTAAGACCGAGGACGAACTCACGAAGGTTATATGTTGTAGCTAAAATTTTATTATCTTCCAATTTTATTTACAATATACACCGGAATACCTGATGATTATTCGAAAAATTATCTTTTCTTGTTCCACGCCATTTTGGTGTTTAAATAACAATATTTACTATAGAAAAAACATCTGTGAAGAAAGATCAGTATAGCTTCCTTACCATTTCTATTAGTTATATTTATTATTTATTTGACGAGAAACAACCCTGAAGGACTACGCGACTATGAAACTGGTTTCTTTTTCAATTATTAGTTATATTGTTTATAAACTATAATACAAGATCAATGATTTGTCATTTGAGAATTAAATCAACAACAGAAACCATTATTAAATATTTAACGTTACTGAACGTATACCTGACATATTTTAGTTAAATCTATATTGTACCTTATACGTATAACCCACATTTCCATTTGTTCACTGCCTAATACATTTATTAACCGTTATATTCTTAACAGTTACCTAAATTAATTTTAATTGTTATATAGAATTTGATGAAGTTGATACTAGATGATTTTTGCACTGTCACCCAAATTTCTTCCAACTTGGGGCCAAATCGAACAAGCAGTTTTTGAAATATAATGTATCAAGGAAAACAGTTCGTGCATCCGAAACCGGAACTATTTTTCAAAAGTGGT